GCCCCACCTGCTTTTTATCAAGACACACCTTCTTAGCGTCGATGCGCGGCTTACCAAAATTTTTGGCGGATCCTCTCCATTGAAAATGGTTCTCGGAACAACGCTTAAATTGCAGAAAGCACATAGTGAATCTCTGGGAGTTCTCAAGAGTTTGGAGCAATGTTGCATTCTCTCAAAGTTAGAGACAGGGCAAACAACCGAAGAAAAATAAGACTTTCTAAGATTTTTCTACTAAAATTCGCTCACTAATTGTCATGTTTATACCTCAATGATGTATAAGACGATTATCATTTTTTTTTTGATTTTAGGCAAAGGTATACGATGTACCGCAAATGAACTGATTAACCGTGGGCGACCTGCTTTAACGAGCGAAGACATTCCCTGCTCCTTCTTGGATACCATTTTGTCAAAACAGGATAGCTCAGCCCCCCCAGATAACCGCCACAGAACAAGATTGGTGGCATCATATGTGCTTCATTTGAGAAAAATTACCTTAGACGGCCCAATTGGGATTAATGCTTAAAAAACGACTATGGTGGCGGCATACCCTCCGGATCCGGAGGCTCTGCTCATCATAAAGATGCACAGCGGCGCAATTATTCGTAATGCTACAAGGATTAGAAAAACTGGCTATAATAGAACAAATTGAGAAATGAAGGGGCGCATTATAATCAAAACATGGAAGACAAAAAAAGAAAAACCCCCAAAACCACCCCCCAACAGACATCGTCTGCCGCCAATGTGTGGAAAGTCTGTTGGACTGGTCACGCCCATTGTTCAACCGATTAACTGCAGCATCCCCCCCAGGGTCAATGCACAGATGCACATCACACCCGCCGTTCACAATCGCGATTCGGCATCTCCAACATATACTGCCATTGGCCCAGCATGGGCGGTCCAATTCTGGTGTATGCCTGGCCGCGTGCGTTCACGTCCTTCGACCCGTTGATCAAGGCGGGTCCGGTTCACACATTGCTGTCCCAACGCTACTACATCGACCATCTGTACGAAGGCATCATCGTCAACCGCGTCTTCTACCGGACCGTTGTTGCCACCACCGACTGGGTTGATCGCAATCTGGTTGACGGCATTGTTGGCCTGGTCGGCTGGATCTCCCGAAACGTCGGCAGCCTGATTGCCCTCGCTCAAAACGGCCAGGTTCAATTTTATCCGCTGGTAGCCGCGATGGGCGGCGCGGTCATCATCATGCTCTACCTGGTACTCGGATAACCGACCATGGCCAACGAATTCAACGGACTGCTGACCGCAACGGTTTTCCTGCCAGCCATTGCAGCCCTGTTATTGGCCGTGGGCATACTAAGCGGCGACCGGGCGATTCGCTGGTTCGCGGTGTTGGTAACCGCCGCTGACCTGGCGCTGTCAGTGGTCGTGTTCGCCCTGTTCCAGCGGGGTGGCGAACGGTTCCAATTGATCGACCGGTTCACCTGGATCGACACCAGCACGGTGCAGGCCAACTACCTGCTGGGTGTGGATGGCATCAGCGCGCCGCTGGTAATGTTGACGGGATTGCTGGGCCTGTGCGCCGTTTTCGCTTCTTTCCACGTCGGCAATCGCGTCAAGGAATACTTCATCTGGCTGCTGGTGCTGCAAACGGCCGTTATGGGCGTGTTCACCTCGCTGGATTTCCTGTTGTTCTTCCTTTTCTGGGAACTCGAACTGGTGCCGATGTACCTCCTGATCTCAACCTGGGGCACGGGACGGCGCGAATATTCGGCGATGAAATTCCTGATATTCACGATTCTGGGCTCGGCGTTCATGCTGGTGGCCATCGTCGGGGTGTTCGTCAGCGCCGGGGTGGGCAGCTTCGACATGACCCGCCTGCTGGAGCCCGGTTCCGCGCTTGATGCCACACGCGCCGCCCTGCCCATGGGCTTGCTGTTCTGGCTGTTCTTCGTCGCCTTCGCCGTAAAACTCCCCACTTGGCCACTGCACACCTGGCTGCCTGATGCCCACACCGATGCACCCACGGCAGGCAGCGTAATGCTAGCCGGGGTGATGCTGAAGATGGGCGGATACGGCTTGCTACGCATCAACGCAGGGATGTTCCCGGAACAGCTGCAAACCTACGCGCTGCCGGTGGTAATCCTCGGCGTCATCAGCGTGCTTTACGGGGCCGTAGTTACGTTGCGGCAAACGGACCTGAAACGTCTTATTGCCTATTCCAGCGTCAGTCACATGGGACTCGTCCTCATTGGCATTGGCTCGGTGGCCGTGGTAGGTGGGGCGTTAACCGACGCCGGCCTGGTGGGGGCGGCGATGCAGCTCTTCACCCACGGCACAATTACCGGGTTGTGGTTCGTCGCGGTGGGAATCGTGTACGACAAAACACACACGCGTCAAATTCCCGACCTGGGTGGGCTCGCCAATCGTATGCCTATCGTGGCGGCGGCGTTCCTGTTGGCCGGCGCTGCCTCATTGGGACTGCCGGCGCTGAGCGGTTTCGTGTCGGAACTGCTGGTGTTCTTCGGTGGGTTCCGGGCGTTCCCGGCGTTGACCATACTGGCGGTGCTGGGAATTATTCTGGCCGCCGGCTATATCTTGTGGATGATACAGCGGGCTTTCTTCGGGCCGCGCCCCGCCCGTTGGGACGAACTTACCGACGCGAGTTGGGTGGAAATGGCCCCTATCGCTCTGCTGGTTATCAGCATTGTGGCGGTTGGTGTGTATCCGGCCTGGCTTACCGACGTGTTCCGTGAGGGACTGGAACCCATCGTAAACGGTTATAATTCCGGCCTTGCCGGTGTCAGCCGCTAGCAGTTCACAAGGCTTTTTTTATGACCACCTACGACCTGTACCTGATTTCGCCGCATCTTGCGCTAGCCGCGCTGGCGATGGTGGTTATCGTTGTTGACTTGCTGACTCGGCGAACCGGGCTGCTCGTCGGTGTGTCATTTGTCGGCCTGGCCGCCCCGGCTGCTTTGAGCGCGATGCAGGTTATTGAGCTGACAACCAGCGGCTCCGACGCATTGTCCGCTGATGGTTCAGTAATCCTGTACACCCTGTCCATCGACCGATTCTCGCTGTTTTTTAACTTTCTGATTCTGGCTGCAACCGGCCTGGTCGTACTGGTGTCCAACGACTACGTGCGGCGAATACAGCGGTTGCAAGGTGAATTTTTCGGCCTGATGCTGCTCTCTGCTACCGGCATGATGTTGCTGGTGGCCGCGAATGAACTGATTACCATATACATCGCCCTCGAGCTAATCACGTTGCCACTGGCGGCGCTGGCCGCATTCATGCCCAACGGCCGGTCCAGCGAAGCCGGGATGAAGTTCCTCATCGTCGGCGCCATCAGCAGCGCGTTGATGTTGTATGGCATGGCGTTGATCTACGGGTTCACCGGCAGCACCCGCCTGGACGAAATCGCGGTGGCACTGGCCGGCGCCGCTACATCGGGTGTCATCCCATTCGGCAGCCTGGCGGTATTGCTAGCGGTCGTGCTGTTGCTGGTAGGGTTTGGATTCAAAATGTCGGCGGCGCCCTTCCAGATGTGGGTGCCCGATGTTTATGAAGGCGCCCCCACGCCGATTGTGGCGTTCCTGTCAGTTGCCAGCAAAGCGGCCGCCTTCGCGCTGGTAATGCGTGTGTTCTACATCGGTTTCGACTCGCTGGCGGGTGATTGGTGGGTATTGCTGGCTATTCTGGCAGCGTTGTCGATGACAATCGGCAATCTGGTTGCCATCTCCCAACACAACATCAACCGGTTGTTTGGATACAGTACCATCGCCCACGCCGGCTACCTTCTGGTCGGTGTCGCTGCGGTAGCCACCTCAGGCGGAGCGGCAAGTTTCGGCCCCAGTAGCGTGGTCTTCTACCTGGCGGCGTATACTGCTGCTAATCTGACCGCGTTCTTCGCTATGGTGTGCATCGGACACCGTATCGAGAGCGACGAGATAGCTGACTACGGTGGGATGATTCGCCGAGCTCCATTCCTGGCAATCACCCTGGGTCTGGCGCTGATAGCCCTGATTGGAGTGCCCCCCACCAGCATATTCATCGCCAAAATTTACATATTCGCCGCCGCCATCAACACCGGGGAGTCCCTGATGACATGGCTGGTTATCATCGGTGTCGTGAACAGCGTCGTGTCGGCGTACTACTACCTGCGAGTCATCAAGGTCATGTTCCTGCAACCCGCAGTCAGCCCGGAGCGGGTGAGAGGGTCCTGGCCGGTGAATCTGGCGTTGGGAGTCGCCACGCTGTCCATGCTGTGGTTGGGCGTGGCTCCGGGCACATTGCTTGGGGCGGCAGAACGTGCGGTTGCGGCCCTGGCAGGAGGTGGCTAAATGGTAATGAAAACCATCGGGATAGCCTACAACGACCTGATTCCAGAGGCGCTGAACCTGGCCCATGCGATCGTTTCCGAGTTGGATTTGGGGGCGAACAGCTGGATCCTGGCCGCCGAAGATGTCAACGGTCTCGCCGCGCGCGCCGTCAACTCGGACCTGGTTATCACCATCGGCGGCGACGGCACCATATTGCGCGTGAACCGGGCTATCGCACCCCTGGGCATTCCCCTGGTCGGGGTGAACATGGGCCGGTTGGGTTTCATGACTGAGCTCACCGTGCCGGGCGTGATGGATGAATTACCGCAGTATTTCAAGGGCGGAATGCGCGTATCCGAACACAGTATGTTGATGGCATCGTCGTTCCGACGCGATCCGGACGGAGCCGAACCGATCCAGCACGGCCCGTATCACGCGTTGAACGACGTGGTGCTCACGCGAGGACAGGTTTCCCGGGTCATTACGGTGCGGGTGGTAATTGACGGAGCGGACGTGTCCACCTTCCGGGCCGACGGAGTGATTCTCGCCACCGCCACCGGCAGCACGGGCTACAGTTTCGCGGCCGGCGGCCCCATCGTTGATCCCCTGTCCGATGACGTAGTGCTCACGCCGCTGGCGTCTCATGTTGGCCTGACCGCTCCCTTGGTGCTGCGACCCACCAGCAGTGTTGATTTCCACCTGGAAGGTTCCCAGGGAGCGATTTTGAGCGTGGATGGGTTCGAGAACCATCCCATCGAACCGGGTGATTGGGTACGCATCACTCGTAGCCCACACCGGGCCCGGTTCCTCCGCGCCCACGAGCATAATTACTTCTGGGCCACGCTGACCCAACGCCTGGGGTTCAGCCTGCAGAGACGGTAACGCTACGGGCGAACTCAAGGATTTGTACCGAAAAATGACGACACCCGCCAGAAACGAACCGACCATTTCGACCCGCACCGTGTTTGAGGGGCGCATCCTTAATGTGCGTGTCGACACGGTGCAACTGGTCAATGGCCGAACCAGCACCCGGGAAATCGTCGAGCACGCCCCATCAATCTGCGTGGTACCGCTGGACACGGACGGCAGGGTGATGCTGGTGCGGCAATACCGCAAACCGGCAGGAGCTTTCCTGCTGGAGGTTCCAGCGGGCGGCATCGAACCGGGCGAAAACCCTGAGGTCGCCGCGTTGCGCGAGTTGCAGGAAGAGATCGGCCACCGCGCGGGTCGCTTGCGGCCGTTGACCGGTTTTTGGCTAGCTCCCGGATGGTGCAACGAGTTTATGTACTCCTTCCTGGCGACGGAACTGACACCGGCAAGGCTGGAGTCGGACGATGACGAGTTCATAGACGTGGAAAAAGTGGCGCTATCCGATGTTCCGGGCTTGATCGGAAACGGAACGATACAGGACGCTAAAAGCGTGGCGTCGCTGTTGCTTGCGATGCGCATCTTGGCGTCGCCGGCCCAATGACCGCGCCCGCCCGAAACCAACCCACTATCTTGACCCGAACCGTTTTCGAGGGTCGGATCATCAACGTGCGCGTGCATACTGTGCAGCTGGAGAACGGGCGTACCGGCTACCGCGAAATCGTCGAGCATCCCCGGTCCATCTGCGTGGTTCCGGTGGATGCTGAAGGTAACGTCATGCTTGTCCGCCAGTACCGCAAGCCCACCGAGGCATTCCTGTTGGAAATCCCGGCCGGCAAGATGGAAGCCGGCGAAGACCCGGACATCGCCACGCTGCGAGAACTCCAGGAGGAAATCGGCTACACGGCCGGCCGGATCCAACCATTGACTGGATTCTGGGTCGCGCCCGGCTGGTGCACCCAATATATCTACTCCTACTTGGCGACGAATTTGACACCCGCTACACTCGAGCCCGACGATGACGAATTCATCGACGTGGAAACAGTGCCGCTAACGGAAGTCCCAGGATTAATCGCTGACGGAACGATACAGGACGCTAAAAGCGTGGCGTCGCTGTTGCTTGCGATGCGCATCTTGGGGGATAATTAGGTGCCTGTCGGCTAGGCCGCTATAGTGAGAATATGTGCCGGGCCAGCCGATGCTGCCCGGTCGGAGGTTGACGCGAATGCCAGAAAATTTGCAACACGACGTGCTGATTGTCGGTGCCGGCCTAGCTGGGATGCGAGCCGCCATTGCGGCCCGCGCCGCCGGAGCCAACACCGCCATCATCAGCAAGGTGCACCCGGTGCGGAGTCATTCCAACGCCGCCCAAGGTGGCATCAACGCGGCACTGCTGGACCGCGGCGATGATTGGGAAGACCACGCCTACGACACCATCAAGGGCAGCGACTACCTGGGCGACCAGGACGCCATTGAAGTGATGTGTCGACAGGCCGGCGCTTCGCTTATTGACATGGAGCACATGGGGGTTACCTTCAACCGGGACGACGAGGGACGGTTGGGCACGCGGGCCTTCGGCGGTCAGCGCCGCGCCCGCACCTTTTTCGTCGGCGACTTCACCGGACAAGCCCTGCTCCACGTCATGTTCGAGCAACTAATCAAATCCGGCGTGCGCCGCTACGAAGAGTGGTTTGTTACATCGCTCATCATGGAAGGCGGGCAGGCCGCTGGCGTCATCGCCCTGGATATCCGCACCGGTGAGTTGAACCTGATCAAGGCCAAGACCGTTATCTTCTGCACGGGCGGTTGCGGCCGATTGTTTGAGCCCAGCACCAATGCACTCATCGTCACCGGCGATGGTATGGGCCTGGTCTACAACGCTGGCGGCCAGTTGATGGACATGGAGATGGTTCAGTACCATCCCACCACGCTGGCGGGTAGCGGGGTGCTGATTTCCGAAGCGGCCCGGGGTGAAGGCGCTTACCTGCGGGACAAAGACGGCAATCGGTTCATGGAGAAATACGCCCCCAACATGATGGAACTGGCCTCTCGCGACGTCGTCTCCCGTGCCGAACAAACCGAGATCAACGCTGGAAACGGCGTCGACGGATGCGTGTACCTGGACTGTACCCACCTTGGCGAAGCGCTAATCATGGAGAGGCTCAGCCAGATCAGGGAAATAGGGGTCGATCTGGCCGGCGCAGACATGATTCGCGAACCGATTCCAATCCGCCCCGGTATGCATTACATAATGGGCGGTATCAAGACCGACATCGACGGGTTGACCAATCTGGAAGGCGTCTACGCTGCCGGCGAGTGCGCCAACGTCAGCGTGCACGGCGGCAACCGCCTGGGCGCCAATTCGCTCCTCGACACAATCGTGTTCGGCGAGCGGGCGGGCAACCACGCCTCAACCGCGGCCCGCGGCAGGAACTACGTCGAATTCGACGCTGGCGCGACTTTGGCTCGGGAATCCCGGCGGATCCAGGAAATGCTGGACCGCCCCAACAATGGAGACCGTTGGGCCTCGGTCCGCAAGGACATGGGCGACTCCATGAATCGCAACGTGGCGGTGTTCCGTAACGAGGAAGGCATCCAGGAAACGCTGGGCGAGCTGCACAACCTGAAGCGGCGCTACGAAAATGTGCCCGTCCACAACAAGGGCAAGCGGTTCAACACCGACCTGGTCTTTGCCCTGGAACTAGGCTATATGCTGGATTGCGCTGAAACCATCGCGATCGGAGCGTTGGAGCGGCGAGAGAGCCGCGGCGCCCAGTTCAGGGTTGACTATCCTGATCGGAACGACGAAGAATGGTTGCACCACATCGTCGTCAGCGAGTCCGAATCGGGGCCGCAAGTTTCTGAATTACCGGTCACCATCACCAAGTGGACACCAGAAGAGAGGAAGTACTAGGTTATGGACATAACCGTAAGGGTAAAGCGACAGAATCCGGAAGCAACAGGAGAAGGCCGTCTGCCCTATTGGCAGGAATACCCGGTTAGCATCCCTGAAAACGCTACGGTTCTGGATGCGTTGATCCAGATTCGCGAAGATGACGACGGCACATTGTCCCTGCGGTGTTCATGCCGCAGCTCCATTTGCGGTTCCTGCGCGATGCGTATCAACGGCCACGCCGGGCTCGCCTGCAAGACAATTGTCAGAGACGCGGTGCAGGATGGGGTTATTACCGTGGAGCCGGTCGGCGTGATGCCGGTGATTAAAGACCTGGTGGTCAACTTCGACCTTTTCTGGGAAAAAATCGAACAGGTTGACCCGTACCTGAAGCATATGGGGCAGGAACCGGAAGGCGAATACATCGTCTCCAATGACGATATGCTGCACCTGTCGGCGGTGACCTCCTGCATAATGTGCGGGGCGTGCGTTTCAGACTGCACGGTGCTGGAAGTCGACCCGACCTTCCTGGGCCCCGCCGCGCTGGCCAAGGCGTATCGATTCACTGCTGACCCACGGGACGGCGATGCCAACGGCGTGTCGGTGGAACGGCTGTGGGCCCTGAGCGAACCCACTGGCATCTGGGACTGCACGCGCTGCAACGAATGTGTCCAGGCGTGCCCCAAGGGCGTGGCGCCCATGGATCGCATCATGGCAATTCGGGAACAGGCCATCCAGGCCGGCTACAACAACAACAACGGCGCTCGCCACACTGACGCTTTCACGGAGTCGGTGGGGCACAGCGGCCGCCTTGACGAGCTCCGCCTACCCATCAAGAGCGTGGGTATGATGAATTTGCCGGCCCTGATGGGCTATTTGCCGGTTGCCTTCCGCGCCATGCGCCGAGGCAAGATGCCACCCATCGTCCACAAGAACGTTGACAACGTGGAAGCGGTACGCAAGCTGTTCCGTCAACTGGAACCCGAACCTGCCGGCCCGCAGGTCAGCAATAACTCTCCATTCGGCTAGAGACCGACCAGCCGCATCAGCCACTCCGGAGGACTGACCAGTGAAGTACGCCTTTTTCCCGGGCTGCGTTTCGACCGGAGGCGCGCCCGAGCTATACCCCGCCACCCAGGTAGTTTGCCAACGACTGGGCATTGAACTTGAAGAGATACCGGGTTGGACTTGCACCGGCGCCGGGGTGATCCAGGAGAAGAACCAACGCTTTGGGGACACGCTGAACGCCCGCAATTTCGCCAAGGCGGAGCAGATGGGGTTGCCGATTCTAACCATCTGCAGCACCTGCCAGGGAGTGATGTCGCAGGCCAACCACCGGATGCGCAATCCGGAGTATTTGGCCGAGATCAACTCCTACCTGGCGGAGGAAGGACTGGAGTACAGCGGCAACAGCGAACCCAAACACCTGCTCTGGATACTAATTGAGGACTATGGCCTGGACCACTTGATGCCTCATATCACGCGCCAGCTTACCGAACTGAAAATCGCTCCGTTTTACGGTTGCTACATCGTGCGGCCAACGGAAGCTCTGGACATCGCAGAGCATCCGGAACGGCAACAATCGCTGGAATTGCTGATTGACGCCCTGGGGGCCACGCTGGTCGATTTTGAGGGCAAGACCCGCTGCTGTGGCTTCCCCATACTAACCATCAACGAGCGCAACTCGATGGCAATGGTGGGCAAGCATACGTCCGAAGTGAAAGACCTGGGCGCTGACGCGATGGTTACGCCGTGCCCGCTGTGTCATCTCAACCTGGATGGATTCCAACCCAAGGCGGCATCGCAGATTCGACGATCCATTGACCTGCCAATCCTGCATATGCCGCAATTGATTGGATTGGCGATGGGGATGTCCCCGGCGGATTTGGGCCTGAAAAAGCACATCGTGAGCACCGGCCCGCTGGAAGTGAAACTCGACGCACGTCGTTAGGCCCTGTGCCAGGGAACCGCATTAACATCCGCCACCACTGCACCCTCATTCCGGCGAAATCCGGGACCCAGCAATCCCTTCAGCGACGAGTAAGCAACGAGGCCCGTGTCAATTAGCGTATCTGGATTACGGCTCAAGGCTGGAACGAAGAGGACAAAGAGCAGGCCCCGGGTTGGCTTTCCCGGGGCCTGAATTTTTGCTCCTACCTCACCGTCAATAGGGCGAACGCCGGAACCAGGTAACTCCACTCAGAAACGACACGCTTGACTATCGGCATGTCTGGATTCCGGCCTGAGTCCAGAATCACTCGAGCGATTTTTGGTAACTAACTCCGCAAGGTAGGCACCACTGCCTGTATCGCCGCGATGGTTTCGTCCACGTCATCGTCGGTGTGGGCGATGGACGTGTAGAATTTCTGCGGCCATGACTTGATGATGCGTCGTTCCAGCAAACCGGCGTTGAGTCGACCCAGCGTAGCAGCGTCGGCGGTCAAACCGTCCCGGTAGTTTTGGATGGGATGATCGGAGAAATAGATGTCGAAGACAGCATCTTCGCCTACGCTTTGAACGAGCAGGCCCTGGTCTTGGCACGCCTGCGCCAAAGCCTGACGCAAACGCCCGCCGACGGCGTGCAATCGATCGTAAACTCCATCCTTCCGAAGCTCGGACAACGTGGCCAGTCCGGCGGCGCAGGCAATGGGGTTCCCGTTCAGCGTCCCGATTTGGTCAACATAATCATCAGAGGACACCGCGGCTCGATCGTACACCGACATAACATCGGCACGACCCATCGTTGCGGCCAGCGGGTACCCGCCACCCATAATCTTGCCTACCGAACACAGGTCGGGCGTTACGCCGTAATACTCCTGAGCGCCACCGTAGGCCAGGCGGAATCCCGTAACCACTTCGTCGAAGATGAGCAGCAGGTTGGCGTCAGCGGTGAGTTTCCGGAGACCGGCCAAAAAGCCCGGAACCGGGGCCAGCGAACGCTGCATTGGCTCTACGATTACGGCAGCAATCTCATCCTTGTGGGCGTCGATGATTGCGGCGGTGGTTTCCAGATCGTTAAACTGGGATATCAGCATCAGGTCATTCAGGGCGCGCGGGATGCCGCCGCTGTTGGCTTCAGCCTGGGGAAACTCGTTCGCTGCTGATCCAAACACCGACATCATCGCGTAATCACTGGTGCCGTGAAAACCACCCTCGAACTTGAGGATTTTTTCCTTGCCAGTGAACGCTCGGGCCACACGCATGGCCTGAAAACAGGCGTCGGTGCCGCTGGTGGTGAAGCGTACCTGCTCTGCGCAGGGTACCGCGTTCACCAATTCCTCAGCCAGCATGACCGCCTGTTCGTTGGTGGTGAAGAAAGTCGAACCGCGACCCACCGCTGACAGAACCGCTTCAGTGACGGCCGGGTGAGCATGGCCCAGAATCATGGGGCCGGAACCCATCAACCAGTCAATGTATTCATTGCCCGACACGTCCCAAACACGCCCGCCGTTACCCTCGCGAACCAGGAATTTCAACTCATCAGGGTAGCTGGTGTTTCCAGTGCTGCTACCGGGCAGGTACTGAGCTGCTTTAGCCAGCAATTCCTGTTCCAGTTGTGTTCTTTGTGTCATTTTCGCCTCCGGATCACGGTCAGGATTTATCCAGCCGCGCCACGAATATTATACACGGGCGATGGCGCCCTCCAAGCGAAGCAACCCCGCCGGCGAATCGTGCCGGCGGGGTTGCTCAAACAGACTCCCATCGCGTGCTAGCCAGCTTCGGCCTTCGCATTCGACATCACATCTACCAGTTCCTGTACTGAAGCCGCCGAGCTTTGCAACGCAGCCTGTTCTTCATCGGTGAGGCTGATTTCCACGATCTGTTCAACGCCTTTGGCCCCTATTTTCACCGGCACGCCGACACACAGACCGTTGATGCCATACTCGCCTTCCAGATAGGCACACCCGGGCAGGATGCGCTTTTTGTCCAACAGCATGGCTTCTACCATCTGGGTGATCGCTGCCGACGGAGCGTAGAACGCGGAGCCCTGTTTGAGCAAGGCAACTATCTCGCCGCCGCCGTCGCGGGTGCGCTGGACGATGGAATCGATGCGGTCTTTGGACAGTAGCTCGGTAACCGGTATGGAGCCAACCGTGGTATAGCGCACGAGCGGCACCATGTCGTCGCCATGGCCGCCCAATACCATGGCCTGCACGTCTTCCACGGAAACGTCCAGTTCCTGGGCGATGAAAGTGCGGTAACGGGCGGTGTCCAGAACGCCGGCCATTCCAAACACCCGGTTGCGAGGAAAGCCGGCAGTTTCGTACACGTTTTGCACCATGGCGTCCAGGGGGTTGGTAACCGCCAGGATGATGCAATCCGGAGAGTAGCGCACTACCTCTTCAGTAACCGCCGACGTAATGCGCATATTGGTGAGTAACAGGTCATCGCGACTCATGCCGGGGCGCCGAGCGATGCCGGCAGTGATGACCACCACCTCGGAATCAGCGGTTGCTTCGTAACCGTTAGACCCGGTGATCATGGCGTCGGTACCGAGAACCGGCCCAGACTCCAGCATGTCCAGGCTCTTACCTTGCGGCAGGTCCTCTACGACGTCCACCAGTACAACATCGGCGTAGCCTAGCTGGTGGATGCGCTGTGCAGTGGTGGCGCCCACGTTGCCGGCGCCAACGACGGTTACTTTACTTCGCATCTGGTGAGTGCTCCTGTGTTTATATGGTCTGATTCGGCGAAGCGTCGGGCGGGAAAATCCCCCAACCCTCCTCTATCAGAGGCGGAGGAAGGGGGAATTCTTGCGTTCGCATCAACCAAAATGATTGTGGCGTCGAATGAGCCCTTGAACCCAAAAACCGACTGGCTGAAGACGCCGCCTCAGCCAGTCGGCGCGCCGCTAGGTTGCATCCACAATGGCATTCAAAGTGGCGCTGGGGCGCATGGCTTTGGCGGCCATCTCATCATTGGGGTGGTAATAGCCACCGATATCCACTGGCTGTCCCTGAGCGTCGATCAACTCCTGAACGATCTTGTCTTCGTTATCAGCCAACTGCCGGGCCACCCCGCTAAAGCGGGCTTGCAACTCTGGGTCTTGCGTCTGCTTGGCCAGCATTTGCGCCCAGTACAGAGCGAGGTAGAAATGACTGCCCCGGGTGTCTAGTTCGTTCACCCGTCGCGATGGGCGCCCTCTGGTATTCGAGATGCTCCCCGATTGCCTGGTCTAGCGTCTCAGCCAGGAGTTTGGCTCGTGATTGTTTAGCACCTCGCCAAATGCTCGAAGGATGCGACGAGGGCACAGAATTCGCCGAGAGAATCCCACCGCAAATGTCCCTCCTCCAGGAACTGTTGCACATGCCTGGGGGCCGATCCGCCAGCGCCCGTCTCAAATAGTCCCTCCGCCTTGAAGCAGTGGCACGACCGAAAGCATCTTGGCGCTGGTGCCCAATTCCAGGATGGGAAAGAGATCAGTCAAATAGTCGCGCAACACGTTGCCAGTCACGGCAATCGTGTCTTGGCCAGCTCGGCTGCGCGCCATCGAGAACCGCATCGCATCCATGGTAGACATGGTGCGTATGTCCAAACCGGCCGTGTCATGCGTGGGCAGATATTGGTCCACCTTCTTGATCAGCTCAGCGTCGTGAGCACGGTTCGGGTCCAACCAAAATATGGATGGCGTGCCGGTGATCTTGGCCCGATTGACCCCAAGCCTGACCCAGTCCTGAATGGGCTCGTCTTTGGTCTGGCACATCCGGAAGATATCACCTTCCTCAACGCGCTGTTCCATCAAAGTTGCGCCTGACGAGTCCACGACCCGAATGGTCCCATTGCTTGGCGCTTTAAAAGTCTTGTCGTGGGAACCATACTCTTCGGCCGCTTGTGCCATCAGCCCCACATTGGCGACGCTGCCGATGGTGGACGGATCAAACGCCCCATGTTCCTGACAATCTTCTATGATCGACTGATATAGAGTCGCATAGGAGCGATCGGGAATCAGCGCGATCGTATCGTGCAACTCGTTGTCGGGGCCCCACGTGCGGCCGCCATCGCGGACAATCACGGGCATGGAGGCGTCAATAATCGTATCGCTCGGCACATGCAGATTAGTGATTCCCCGGTTGGAGTTCACCATCGACAACTCCGGGCGGACGCTATAGACCGCCTGGATATCCGCCTCGATTTCCGCTCGCTTATCCTCAGGCAGGGATTGAATCTTCGTGTAGAGTTCAGCGATTCCATTGTCGGGATTCACCGCAAGTTCACCCAGGTCTGCCGCGTGTTTGTCGAACACGTCCTGGTAGTAAACCGACACGCAATGGCCGAAAATAATCGGATCGGACACGCGCATCATGGTCGACTTCACGTGCAGGGAAAGCAACACGCCTTCAGCTTTAGCATTTGCGATTTCCTCGCCGTAAAATTCGCGCAGCTCCTTGACATTCATCACGGCGCAATCGACGATTTCACCGGATTGTAGGGGGATACCGGATTTAAGCTCGGTCACACGACCGTCGCGGGTCACGAATTCGATTGCAGCCGACCCAGCTGCCGAGGTCGTAACGGCCTGCTCACTGCCGTAAAAATCACCACTGGTCATGTGGCCGACTCGGGTTTTGGACACTTCCGGCCAGTCTTGCATCATCCGATGGGGATTGCGTTTGCCGTGCTCCTTGACCGATATTGCCGACCGTCGATCAGAATTCCCTTCCCGTATAACCGGGTTGACAGCGCTGCCGATCACTATGGAATAGCGGGCATGGATTTGGCGTTGTTCGTCTGTTGCCGGATCGTCGGGGTAGTCGGGAATATCATAGCCCTCGACCTGCAATTCCTGGATCGCGCTTTTCAACTGGGGAATTGAGGCGCTGATATTGGGCAATTTGACCAGGTTGGCCCCCGGCTCCTTGCACAAATCGCCACACATGGTCAGATAATCGAGTATCTTTTGCTCGGCGGTCAAATTGTCAGGGAAATTGGCAATAATGCGACCGGTCAACGAGATATCCCAAGTCTCCAGTTCAAAACCGGATCCCTTGGTAAATGCCTGAAGAATCGGCAGCAACGAGTGCGTGGCAAGGGCCGGAGCCTCATCAGTTTTCGTATAAATAATCTTGGCAGCTTCTGGCATGATTTCCTCCTTAGTAAATAAGTTTCACGGGCCGCTACGAGTTGCCAAGAGATGTTTGACCACGGTCCCGAACATGAAAAGTGTGCACTAACTTGCCATCATTGATTAGGACGATATGGACGAGTCAGTACGTTCCAGGCACGAAGCGGGGTGGATTGAAGGGCATGGGTACCCGGCATTACACCCGATGCTGCGGACCAAACAGAGTTCAGATTGCGCCAATTATACATCCGAACTCTAATCAACGGTACCCCAGGCGAACCCTAATCCAGGGGCTTTCGGTTATTGGCGGAAGGTGGGAGTGGAGGATCCTCGGGGCAGCGGGGCCAGTCCTCCCAAGCGGGCCATTCCCAGCCGGCTTCTTACTGGTGGGGAGCCACTGCGGTATCGCATACTGGGGCCGCTTCGTGCGAGACATGACCCTGGTTGAAGACCGCCCCCAAGTAACGAGGGGCGCCGCTGCTCAGTCCACGGCGGCCTTGCGTAACCTGACCATCAGCCGGCCTGGATTGGCCGGTCGACCGAATATCGCGGCAGTCTTGCGCCGCCAAGTTGCCCGATCGTCCCAACGCTTGGCCACGGTCGGGGCTCGCGGTGAATAATCAAACGTCCCCTGGCGCACCAAAACCATCTCACAACCGACTTCGCTCCGAACCTGAACCGGTAGACGCTGCTGACCCCGCCGATGCAATGGTGGTGGGCAGTTTCCCGAGTTTTACCTTCGTTATTCAACGCGTATCGGATCGGTGTATGTGGTACATTGCGGCGAGGTTTTCCAACCCGCTGCGGCGCCCGTGGGTATGCGACGGTTGACATTCGATGGCTGATACGGCAACTCCCGCGGTGCGTATGCCGCTCATCAACAAGTTACTGTTCGCCTCAGACCACATTGGTCTGCAAACCATCAGTTACACTCGCAGTTCGTGGTTGCTGTTTTTCCTGGTGCCTCCCGTTGGCATCGGTCTGGCCCGGATACCACCCGTATCCCTGCCCGGATTCGAGCTGGACGCCCGCGTGCTGGCCGGAATCTTGCTAACCGTCGGGCGACTGGTTGATGCGGTCGACGATCCGCTCATCGGGTGGTGGAGCGACCGGACGCGCAGCAGGTGGGGTCGGCGCATTCCGTTCATATTGTTCAGCACGCCTTTTTACGCGTTGTTCGCGGCGATGATCTGGTTTCTCCCTACCGACCAACCCAGCCTGTGGAATGCGCTGTACCTGGTGGTAGTCTTGGAATTGTTCTTCATAGCCAGCACAATGTCCAGCGGACCATTGGAAGCGCTGATCCCCGAGCTGTCCCACTCACCAAAAGACCGCATGGCCATCGTTGGCAGCATTTTCATGTTCGCCATTCTGGGAGCCGCGGTAGGCCTGATAGCCAGCGGCCGTATCGTGGATGGTGCAGGGTTTCAGGTCATGGGATTGTCGGTAGCCGTTGTGGGCATAGTGTTTCGATATATCTCACTGGCGTCAGTCTGGAAGTACGCCCCGCGACACACTCCGCCGGCAACCGCGCCATTCTGGGGCGGGTTGGCAAGCGCACTTCGCAACCCACAATTTATCTACTTCCTGCCCACCTACGTGATGTTCTCCATGGCGGTGGGAGTAATTATGGCGTGGATGCCGTTTTTCGCCTCCGGGTTGTTGCAGGCGGAGGACGAAGGGAAAATTACCGGGCTGATGTTTGCCACCGTAATCGCGGGTGTAATAGTGGCCGGTATCGTGATCTGGCCGATGTGCAACCGATTCGGCAAGCGGAGCAGGGCAATCGCGTCTTATCCGAGGAGTACTTTTAGTAGGTAGTCTTCACGCCAACCGGCGTTGAGTCCGTTGCCCTGGATGCCCACTTTGAGCTGTTTCGTTTTTCATAGATGTGGAGATCTGACGCGGTGGCCAGATTCTGCGGCCCGTGGTCTTTGCGCACTCGGCACTGATCTTCTCGAAGGTTACATCCAAAGTCCAGTGCAGTGAGTTCTCGATGCTCCATGGCTCCTGACGCAGCCAGCAGTTGTCCTGCTGGGGCTGGCAGGCTGCTGATGTAGTAGCGAGTTGACTGATCGCGCCGGCTCGGTCTCACGATGCCGCACCACTTGATGCGGCCTTCAGTTGGGGCCATTGCCCGTGAGGGTTGATGTAGTCCAGCAGGCCCGTCGCGGTGATGTCCAGCATTCCCGCCGTTCCACCCCGTCCGTGTCCCTTGTTCACGTCTGGGAGTAGTCGTAGGGCACCCCGTCAAGCCACACGCCTCCGCCCCCTCGAACAGGTCTCGGATGCCCTCGTGGATTGACCCTGGTTCTTCCTTCACCGCCAGGACGTAATTGGCCCCGCCGTCTGTGATCTGCTGGGCAATCTCCGCTGGCAGCCCATGCGTCAATGGTCACGATGCAGCCGTGCAGATCCAGCAAGTCAGCAGTGGGGATGGCGGTGATCTCATTGGACTTCTCCGCCGTCCTGACCTGCCCCAACGTCAGGTGTTCTGCGTGGCCAGGCGCTGACCAATGCATGGCTCCCTTGCTCCCCGCCCGTCGTAGGACCGTCGGGCCGTCTTGCCGTCAATGCGACACCACCCTCACGCAGCAGTTCGGCGATGGCCTGGGTCCAAGACACGAAGCAGTTCTGGAATGGGCTGGGTCCGACGCGCACAGACATCGCCGAAGGTGTCATGGGAGGGGACGGCCGTTGTGCAATTCCAGGAAGGTTTGAAACCATTCCAGCTTGCTCCTGCGAAGAGTTCCACACGGACCCAGGAATCGGCTCCGCAGATGCGGCCAGATGGCGATGGCTAAATATCCACCAGCTGGTGGCGTCGGTCCGTTCCACCCGTGGTCGTCCAAGTCGTCGAAATGGTCCAAGATCCGATACGTGATGTGATTCTGCCATGGCCCGTCGCCCTCTCTAGTTTTATCGAATCATCCACACATTAGCATAATTCAAAAAATTACCATTAAGACGCGATTGCCCTGGCAAGCGGAGGATGTACGGCATTTGCCTGGTTATCAGCGGTACCTTGTTTCCGCTGTTGGGCCTGGTGGGATTGATCAGCACCAAAGGGCTGATGGGCCAGAGTTTCGCCCTAGGATTTTTGATTGGCCTTCCGATGGCGGCGGTGTTCCTGTTGCCCAAGGCATTCACGGCGGACATCGCCGACTATGACGCCCTCATCACGAACCAGCGCCGTGAGGCAATTTTTTACTCCACGCAAAACTTTTTCGAGAAGGTAGCTCTGTCCTTTTCGCCACTGATACTCAGCCTGGTATTACTACTCGGCGATTCCACAGAAAACCCGTTGGGCATTCGATTGGCCGGACCGCTGGCCGGGTTGCTGGCGTTATCCGGCTTCGTGGTCTGGCAGCGTTACAAGCTACCCGACACGGTGAGCCGCGAGGCGGTGTCCGCCGCCGGTCTGCTACCAGCACAAACCTGACGCTAAGTCGCGTCGTAAGCGCTCCGTCAGGAATCGAGTTGGATCGCCAGCGCCTCAGCGCTGGTGACGGGCAGTTGGCAAGCGTAGTGCTGGCAAACGTAGGCGGTGGGGACGCCGCCCTGCATTCCACGCTGCTCCAGGAGCGGCGAATCCGGCACGGGCGGAGCAGATGGGTCGGACATGCCCACCAACACCTGGTTGGGCAAAAACCGGGTTCCAACCGCCTCTAGCATTGTTTGGGTCTCCGGGTGATCCGCCGGCCCCACAATTACAACTTCCCTGGGTAGCGAGACGTAGAAATCCAAAGCGCCCAGCCAGTGCCCGGTGGCCGACGGAGCGCGACCAAACAACGGCAGCAAGGCACGCAGCGGCGTCGAACCCTTGGCGGAGTAGTCGTTATTGCCGGTAACTACCCCCAACCGCAACAGTACATCGGTCGCAACGGAACCGCCGCAGGGCTGCGCGTTGTCGAACACATCGCGCGGACGGATTACCAGGGTTTCATGGTCGTTGCCGGTGTCATAGAATCCGCCCACAGCATCGTCCCAGAACAGCGCGACCATGCCGTCGGCCAGGGCCACCGATTCCTGCAGCCAGCGAGGTTCCAGTGTCGCCTCGTGGAGCTCGAGCAGTCCGGCGGCCAGGCACGCGTAATCTTCCAGATAGCCCAGCAATTTGGCCTGACCTTTGCGCCAGGTCCGTAAGACCCGGCTGTTGCTATCTCGCATGGTGCCCAGCAGGAAATCGGCGTTGCGTCGGGCCGCATCCAGATAGTCCGACCGTTGCAATGCGGCGCCGGCTTCGGCGAACGCCCGCAGCATCAGGCCGTTCCAGGCGGTCAACACCTTGTCGTCCAGCAGTGGGTGGATTCGTTGCTCGCGCGCTTCCAGCAGGCCGGTTCGAGACCGTTGTATCGCGGCGGCCAATTCATCATCGCTGACGCCGCGCTGATCCGCGTAGTCCTGGAAGGGTTTGGTCACGTTGAGGATGTTGGCGCCCTCAAAATTGCCGCGCTCGGTGACGCCGTAGTAACCCATGATTAGGTCGGCATCTTCGCCCAATATTGCCTGCAACTCGGCTGGCGTCCAGACGAAAAACTTGCCCTCCACGCCCTCGCTGTCAGCATCCTGCGCCGAATAAAAACCGCCGGCCGGGTCGGTCATCTCGCGCAAGACGTAATCCAGGGTTTCCTCGGTGATGCGACGGTACAGGGGGTTGCCGGTAATTTGCCAGGCGTGCAGATACAGCCGGGCCAGCAGGGCGTTGTCGTACATCATCTTTTCAAAGTGGGGGACGAGCCAGTAGGCATCAGTAGAGTACCGGTGAAACCCGCCGGCCACCTGGTCGTAAATGCCGCCGTAAGCCATTTTTTGCAGCGTGAGTTCCACCATTTCCAGGGCGCGCTGGTTGAACCCGTGGTGGTTGTAGCGCAACAGAAACTCGGGGGTCATGGGTTGTGGGAATTTGGGAGCGTTGCCGAATCCGCCGTTCAGATGGTCGAACTGGGTCGCCAGCTGAGAATAGGCGGTGTGCATCGCCTCAGTAGTGAGCGGGGTTGTTCCCCGAGGCATCTGACCGGTGCGACCCATCTGGTCAGCCAGCTGCCGGGTGACCCGTTCAATCTCGCCCTTGTTGGTGCTATAGGCCTGGCTTGCCGCGGTCAGCAGCCTGGGGAAACCCGGCATCCCTTGCCGGTCTTCAGGCGGGAAATAGGTGCCGCCGTAGAATGGTCGACCCTCTGGAGTCAGGAACACCGTCATTGGCCATCCGCCACTGCCGGTCAGCATCTGGATCGCCTCCATGTAAACGGCATCCAGGTCGGGCCGTTCCTCCCGGTCAACTTTGATGTTGACGAAATTATCGTTCATCAAAGCGGCGATTTCGTCGTTCTCGAAGGATTCTCGCTCCATAACGTGGCACCAGTGGCACGCCGAGTAGCCGATGCTGAGCAGGATGGGTCGGTCTTCCTCCCGTGCGCGGCTCAACGCCTCATCGCCCCAGGGGTACCAGTCGACCGGGTTATTGGCGTGTTGCAACAGGTAAGGGCTGGTTTCGTTGTTCAGTCGATTGGGCATCGGAAGCGCTCCAGTGGTCGGGTTGGCACGGCGTGGGTTGCGATTGCCAGCATAGGCCGCACACCCGCTATTTTGGTACAATTGGGTTGATTGAGCGCAAGCATACCAGATGCCGGCCGAGGGAAACTGGTGCCCGTGCACATCGTAAGCCACAACAACCACCTGATTGCTCTGGCGCTAACACTGGCCGTCGTGTTGAGCGTTGCGCTGGCGTGCGCTCCGGTTGCTGGCAGCGCGGTTATCAGCGTGGGCACGGACGTGGGCAATCGGTCGCCGGACTTTTACAATGCAACTGGCCGACGGTTCTCAGGTCACGTCGCAGTTCCTTGACGACCAGGACCACGCAGCCCTGCTTTTTTATTTCGCCACCTGGTGACCGGAATGCCGCGCTGAGTTGCAGACGCTGGACACTCTGGCCACCGAATATGACAACATCGACTTCTACGTCGTCTCCTACAATGAGGACGTCGCAATCGTCAATGATTACATCAACGAACGCACCTATACCGACCTGATTCCCGTTCAACCAGCCAGCCCAATGGTGGCCGACTTCGAGATCACGCGGCAGATGGCGATGGTGGCGGTCAATGCCAACGGTATCATCTACCACCGACAGGTGATGGGCCGTGCCGAGGAGTGGGTGCCGTACTTCCAGGAAATGCAAGGCCAACCCCAAGGTCATCCCCGCCAGCCTGGAAGCCGAACTGCAGAAAGAGCAACGACGAAAAGACATCCAATTGCCCAGTTGATGAGGGTAGACACCGGCGCCGTTGGCGCTGCCCATTGAACCAATGAAAACCAACAGCCTTATCGCACTGATGTTGATCGTTGCCGTAACTATTTGGGCCGCATTGGCGTGCAGTCCGACTGAATCTCCGCCAACTGACCCAGCAACGGACGATGCAGGATTGGTCGCGGCAACGCCGGAAACTTCAGCGAGTGCATTAGAACCAACGCAGGCTCCGCAGCCATCAATCGCCGCCGCACCGTCTGAGGTGCGCCCGGCGACGAGCGCTACTGCGACCATAGAATCGCCCCCTCCAAAGCAAGAGGCGGCAACTGTCGCCGCTGCCGCAGAATCTACGCTAGCGGCGGCTGTTGCGGCCGTGGGCACCGGATCGGCGAAACCGCGCCTCACTTCTCTGTCCACCTTACCGACGGAACGGAAATCTCTTCAGAGCAACTGCTGGAACCAGGGCGACCAGTATTCATGATCTACTTCGCCACCTGGTGACCGACTTGCCGCGCTGAGTTGCAGACGCTAAGCAAAATTGTGCCCGATTTCGCCGGGCAGGTCAATTTCTACGTCGTTTCTTACAATGAAGATGCAGCGACTGTCGACGGATATATTGCCGGCAACCGTTACACTGACATGATCGCTGCACAACCCGTGGGGAGTATGCTGCGCGACCTCAAAATCGTGAGCCAATCGTCCATGTTGGCCCTGGACTCCGCTGGCGTCATCGCGTTCAGAAAAGGATTCGGAGGCGGGAATTCGGACCGGTTGCGCGCCGAATTCGAGCAGTTGGCTCAGTAGTCCGGATTATTACCGGGTTGGCGGGTCGTGGGTGTACCGCACACCCTTCCGAACACCCGACCACCGCCGGCGCCGATGTGTTGGATCACGAACCGCCGGATCCCAACGGCGCGCTCCCCAGGTTGGTCAACGGGGTAGTTATGCCGCACACGGCAGAGTCGACCTACGAGTCGCAGGGCAAGCCTGCGGCCCGGTATCGAGGGCTACCGTCGGCTACGCAGCTTTGAAACCGGAGTGCCTTCCAGGTCGGACTCCAACCGCTCCAGCACATCACTCATCGGTAAGGCTCCCAAGTCTTCGCCGTCACGGGTGCGAACGGCTGCCGCTCCAGCTTCCGATTCGCGGTCGCCGACTACGAGCATGTATGGTGTTTTCTGCAACTGGGCCTGGCGAATTTTCAGGTTCATCCGCTCGCTTCGGTCATCCACCTCCACTCGGAAGCCGGCATCCTGCAGTTCCGTCGACACCTGCTGGGCGTACTCGATGTGGCGGTCAGCGATGGGAATGACCACCGCCTGCACCGGCGCCAGCCAAAGGGGAAACGCCCCGGCGTAGTGCTCCACCAGCACCCCGAAGAATCGTTCCAGCGAACCCAGGATAGCGCGATGCACCATGTAGGGACGCGAGCGGTTGCCTTGGTCATCCTGGAAGGTCAGATCAAAGCGTTCCGGTAGGTTGAAGTCGAACTGAACCGTCGTGCACTGCCAGTCTCGCCCCAGGGCATCCTTGATTTTGATGTCGATTTTTGGCCCGTAGAATGCGCCACCGCCGTCATCGATGCCGTAGCTCAGCTGCCGGGACACCAGCGCTTCCCGCAGCGACTCAGTGGCGTGGTCCCAGGTATCTGGCTCACCAACGTATTTCTCAGGCCGCGTGGACAGCATGATGTCGTATTCGTCGAAACCAAAAGCAGCCATAATCTCGAACGTGAGGTCCAACACATCGCCGACCTCGCTGGCCACCTGATCAGGCAGGCAGAAAATATGGGCGTCGTCCTGGGTAAAGCCTCGCACGCGCATCATGCCGTGCAGCACTCCGCTTCGCTCGTATCGGTAAACGGTGCCCAGCTCGGCGATGCGCATTGGCAATTCACGGTAGCTGCGGAGCGCCGACCGATAAATCTGGATATGAAACGGGCAGTTCATTGGCTTGAGGAAGTATTCCTGTTCGTCGATCTCCATCGGTGCGTACATGCTTTCCCGGTAAAAATCCAGGTGCCCGCTGGTTTGCCAAAGCCGGGCCCGCCCGATATGAGGCGAGTACACGATGCTGTAACCCTTACGGTAGTGTATGTCCCGCCAGTAATCTTCAATCAACGAGCGCATCACCCCGCCTTTGGGGTGCCAGAGGATCAATCCGGGGCCGATTTCCTCGTGGACGGTGAACAGGTTGAGTTGGCGGCCTAGCGTGCGGTGGTCGCGCCGCTCGGCCTCGGCCAACCTTTCCAGGTGAGCGTCCAGTTCCTGCTGGGACTCAAAGGCGGTACCGTAGATGCGCTGTAGCATCGGGCGTTTCTCGTCGCCACGCCAATAGGCGCCCGCGGTGTGCAGCAGCTTGACGGCCGCGATTTCGCCGGTGCTGTCGACGTGGGGGCCTTGACACAAATCGGTGAATGCGCCGTGCCGGTAGATGCTCAGCGTAGTTTCGTCCGGCAGGTCGTCGATGATCTCCTGCTTGAAAGGTTGCGCAGAAAACATGGCTTGCGCCGCATCGCGGCCCAGTTCTTCGCGGATGAAGGAGGCGTTGGTGTTGATAGTCTCAAGCATCAACGCTTCAATGCGTTCCAGGTCTTCCGGAGTGAAGGGACGATCCACTTCGAAATCGTAGTAAAAACCATCAGCGGTCGGCGGCCCGATTCCGACTTTGGCTTCCGGAAACAACTGAATTACCGCATCGGCCATGACGTGAGCCGCCGAGTGTCGCAGCCGGTGGCGCAACGACTCGATGGGGTCGGTGGCGGCGTTCTCCGGGGTTCCGTGGTCTAGCATCTGCGCTACCTGCCTGTTGTGTGTTTCGGCGCCGACGAGCGCCGTCTGCCGGTACCAGTAATACTGGGGTGTCGCACCGTACGGGTTCTTGTCAACGATTATACTCGATAGACTGTCGTGCGCCGGATTGCATCCAGGTTTCAGATCGTCTTGTTGTATAATTTCTGTTAATCTTACGGATTAGGCACCACAGGTTGACGCAAGGTAGCCCACCAAGGAAGCCCATATGGAAGAAATTCGCCAGCAACTGGAAGAGATGTTTAGCAAGCTCAATTCAATCGTGGAGCGGCTTTGACCTTGCTCGTAAAGAGACAGTAATCGAAGAACTGAACCGGGAGGCGTCCGCATCTGACTTTTGGGACGACCCGATCAACGCCCAACGCAAAATGCAAGAACTGGGCCAACTCCAGCAGTCTGTAGAGTTGTGGCGCAACCTGCAATCGCAGGTAACCGACCTGCGGGAATTGGCCGACCTGGGCATCGAGAATGGCGATGACAGCCTCACCGAGGAACTGACGGCAGAGACTGCGAACGTTGCCACCGAACTGTCCAAGGCCGAAATGCAACTCACCCTGTCCGGCCAATACGATGACCGGCCCGCAATTTTGACCATTCATTCCGGCGCCGGCGGCACCGACTCGCACGATTGGGTTGAGATGCTGGTGGGAATGTATGCCGGCTGGGCATCGTCGCGCAACCGACCCGTGCAGGTGCTTGATACAGCCTACGGGGACGAAGCCGGACTACGCACGGGCACGCTGGAAATCGGTGGGCAGCACGCTTTCGGCTACCTCAACGCCGAGGTGGGCGTCCATCGGTTGGTACGAATGTCGCCCTTTGACCCGGCACGGCGTCGGCAAACGTCGTTCGCCCGTGTCGAGGTTCTCCCAGCGGCCCTGGAAGAATCGGGCGAAGTGGACATTCGACCGGATGACCTCAAGATGGATTTCTTCCGGTCCAGCGGGCCCGGGGGGCAGAACGTGCAAAAAGTCGCGTCAGCAGTACGGCTCACGCACCTGCCCACGGGGCTTGTAGTTACGTGCCAAACCGAGCGGTCGCAGCACCAGAATCGGGATTACGCCATGCGTATTCTGCGTGCCAGGCTGTTGGCGCTTCGAGAGCAGGAGCGAGCGCAGCAACTTTCCAATCTGCGCGGCGTGCGGGTGTCTGCCGAATGGGGCAACCAGATTCGCAGCTACGTGCTGCATCCATATAAATCGGTGAAAGACCACCGCACTGACTTCCAGGTTGGCAACGCAGACGCCGTGCTCGCCGGCGAGATCGACGGGTTCATCGAAGCTTACCTGGTCAGCAAGCTGGGCAACGACAAATAGTCCGGGCCCGGTCGAGGTACGCGTGAGTCTGCAATGCCAGAAGGGTTGGGCTACTGCCTGGACAAAAGATGTCCCATGCTGTCCCGCTTGGTGCGCAGGTAGTCTTGGTTAGATTCGTTGGGTGGTACCGTCAGTCCGATGCGGTCGGTTACCTGCATGCCCAAGCCGCTGATGCCGGCCATTTTGTGCGGGTTATTTGGTAACCAGCCGGGCCCTTGAGATTTCGAGGTCGCGCATAATCTGCACCGCCAGGTCGTACTTGCGCTCGTCGGGCTGGAAACCCAACGCCACGTTCGCTTCGATAGTATCCAGGCCGTCATCTTGCAACGCGTAGGCTTTGATTTTGTTGTGCAGGCCGATGCCCCGCCCCTCTTGTCGCAGGTACACCAATGCTCCGGCTCCATTCTCGAAAATCATCCGGATCGCCATGTCGAGCTGCTCGCCGCAGTCGCATTTCAGGCTGCCAAAGGCGTCTCCGGTCAAACATTCACTGTGGACGCGAACCAGAACCTCATCACCAGCCTGCCACTCGCCAACTACCAGGGCGGCGTGTTCACCAGTGTCGATGGCGCTGCGGTAGCCGATGATGCGCGCCGCCCCGTACTTGGTGGGCAGATTCGCTTCCGCGACCCGCGTGATCAAGGTTTCGGTGTTGCAACGGTGTGCAATGAGTTGGGCGATGCTGAAGATTTTGATGTCGTGTTTCGCCGCGAATATTTCCAGATCCGGCAACCGCGACATCGTGCCGTCTTCGTTCATAATCTCGCACACGACACCGGCCGGATAGGCTCCCGCCAGACTGGCCATATCGACGACGGCTTCGGTGTGACCTTGCCTAATAAGCACCCCGCCAGGGTGGGCCCTTAGGGGGAACATATGCCCGGGTTGGATGAAATCAGTCGGTTGGGACTTGGCGTCGACCAGCGCGCGGATGGTGGCGCTGCGGTCGTGAGCCGAAATCCCTGTGGTGGTACCCGGTTTGTAATCAACCGACCTGGTAAACGCGGTGGGCTGGGTCGAGTTGGAGTTGCGGCTGCGCAGGTTGGGTATCTGGAGCTCGTCAAGGCGGTCGCCCTGCATCGCCACACACACCAAACCGCGAGCATGGGTAACCATGAACGTGATTGCCTCTGGGGTCATCCGATCGGCGAAATAGAAGAGGTCTCCTTCGTTCTCGCGTCCCTCATCATCTACCACGATCACGAATTTGCCGGAAGACAGGTCTTCCAGAGCCTCGTCCAGGCTACACAGCGGCATCATTCCTCCGGGGTGTGAACGTGTCCGCAGTGTCAGCATCATTGCGTGGCATCGGAACAAGGGAAACCGGGCAACTGAACTTGGGCCGCCGGAAGGCCGGCCGATTAGCCATCTTCTCTGGCTTCAGGATCATGTTGGCGCCGGTGGAGTATCAGGTCCGCAATCGACAGGATGTTGAGCGAATGTTTCTTCGCTAACATCAGCAAATCCGGCAAACGCGCCATGGTGCCGTCATCTTTCATAATTTCGCACACGACCCCGGCCGGATACATCCCCGCCAACCGACACAGGTCTATGATTGCCTCGGTGTGCCCCGGCCGCACCAGCACGCCGCCAGTGTGATAGCGCAATGGGAAAAGGTGCCCCGGCTGGATGAAGTCTTGCGGGCGCGCCGCTGGATCAATGAGCGCGCGGATGGTGGCAGCGCGGTCTTGCGCCGAAATCCCGGTGGTGGTGTCCACCACATAGTCCACCGGCATGGTGAACGCAGTTGGCATGGCAGAGTCGGAGTTGACGCTGGGCAGCATCGGTATGTCCAACTCTTGAAGACGTTCTGACGTCATGGGCATACAAACCTGGCCGCGGGCGTGGGTCACCATAAAATTGACGGCATCAGGAGTGACGCACTCTGCGGGCATCACGAGGTCGCCTTCGTTTTCACGATCCTCATCGTCCACGACAATGAGGAATTTTCCCGATTTGAGGTCCGCTAGACCTTGTTCAATGCTGGCCAGTTGCATCTATTGTTTGCGTTCGTCAGTGTGTTGGGGTCGGGTTAATTGCGTCTGGTTTCGAGCAGACTTTCCACGTATTTTGCCAGAATATCCGCTTCCAAATTTACAGATTCCCCGACTGTTCGTTGGCTTAGATTGGTGTTTTCCATGGTAAACGGAATCACGGATATGGTGAACCGCTGCCCCGTTCTTTGTACCACTGTGAGGCTAATTCCGTCAACCGCGACAAACCCTTTCTCTACGATGTACGGTGTCAGTTGCGTAGGGGCTTCGATTTCGATGATGTAGCAATCCACTTCGGGGGTGAGGCCGGTTACGGCGCCGGTCGCATCCACGTGGCCCTGGACGATGTGGCCGCCCATTCGATCCGAAGCCAGCAGCGCCCGTTCCAGATTGACGGCTCCTCCCCGGGCAACCTGACCCAGCGAGGTTCTGCGCAGTGTTTCCGGGGCCAGATCTACGGCAAAGCTGCCGGCATCGAACTCCACCACCGTCAGGCAGGCGCCGTTGACCGAGATGCTGTCGCCCAGCTTCACATCCTCCAGGACTTTTTTGGCCTGGATGACGAACCGGTAGTTGTCCAGCTCTGCCACGTGGCCGACTTCTTCAACGATTCCAGTGAACATCTAATCAACAAAGCCGGTGTCGCCGCCGACCCCTCCGTGTTTTGATTAATCAATCAGGCGCCGTTTGAATCAGGGTACCCGGTAATCAGCCAGTCCGGACCTATCTGCTCCAGGTTGGTGCGCTTCAGCCTCAGGACGTCCGACATCATCCGAGCGCCTACACCCTCAACCGGAGAGCGCGCGTCCACTCCGCCAATCAGCATTGGACCGATGAAGGCCTGGACCTTGTCGACCAGCCGGGCATCCAGCATTGCGCCCAGCACGCCGCCGCCGCCCTCCACCAGTAGGCTAACCATGCCTGATTCACCCAGATATGATAGCAGCCCGGCCAAATCCACTCGACCGTCGGCTCCCGGCAGCGAGACCACGAGAGCCCCGGCAGCTTCCAGGTCCGACCGGCGCGCCGGTTCCACTGACCCGGCGGTCGCGATGATGGTGCGTCCGGGCTGCTGCAACATACGGGATGTTGCCGGCGTTCGAGCGCTGCTGTCGAGCACGATGCGAACGGGCTGCAAATTCTCCGGCAATGCGTCACCTGAAATGTCCCTGGCGGTGAGCTGGGGATTGTCGGCCAACACCGTGCCAATCCCGACCATGATTCCGTCCAGCTCCTTGCGCATCTGCTGAACACGGGCGCGGGCCATCGGGCCGGTTATCCACATTGAGTCGCCGGTTCGGGTGGCAATCTTGCCGTCCAGACTCATGGCGAATTTGGCCACCACAAAGGGCAAGCCGGTTACGATGTGCTTGGCAAAAGCCTCGTGCAATTGGTCGGCTTCCGGAGACGGACGGCATTCGACGGTGAGGCCGGCAGCGCGCAACGCCGCCGCGCCGCCGCCGGAGACTCGTGGGTTAGGGTCAGTGACGGCGAACACCACGTGGCTGATGCCGGCGGCGATGATGGCATCCGTACAGGGCGGAGTGCGCCCATAATGACAACAAGGTTCGAGCGTGACATAAAGTGTTGCGTCGCGTGCATCGTTTCCAGCCTGCCGCAGCGCGTTAATCTCGGCATGATTTTGCCCGGCCGGGGACGTGTACCCCTCGCCTATCACGCGATCATCGCGGACGATGACGGCGCCGACAGACGGGTTGGGACTGGTTGAACCCAGGGCACTGCTGCCCAGCACGACGGCACGCGCCATTGGATCGGCTTCAAATTTCGCCGACATTGGCCGCATTACGGCTACCGGCCCCGGTCGAAGTCCTGGTGGAATCGGCTGGCGGTGGGGCCGGTCTGTCCTTGATATTTACTGCCCAACTCAGGAGAACCATAGAGGCGCTCGGCGGGGGTGGTCAGTTGCAGGAAGGAAATTTGGCCGATTTTCATGCGGTGGTAAAGCGTGATAGGCAGGCGGGCCACGTTACTGAGTTCCAGGGTCAGGCGGCCGCTCCAGCCTGGATCGACAAAACCGGCGGTGCTGTGAATGAGCAGGCCAATGCGCCCCAGGCTGCTTTTGCCCTCCAGGCGGGCCACCAGATCGTCGGGCAATTCAATGTGTTCCAGAGTACTGGCCAGCACAAATTCTCCGGGGTGGAGCATGAAGGGCGTGTCGTGGTCGATTTCGACAGCCTCAGTGAGGTCATCCAGCGGCTCACGCACGTCAATATAGGGTTTGCGGGAGTTGGAGAAAACCAGAAAGCGATTGGACAAGTGCAGGTCAATACTGGCCGGCTGGATGTCGTCGAGGTCGATCGGATCCACCACGATCCGACCCCGGTCGATTTGCTTACGAATGGAGCGGTCACTCAGCACCATGTGGCGCACCGGAATAGCTTATTGCTCCGTAGCGAACGTGCCAAAAGCCCCGATCTCGTAGCAACGAACCGAATCGTGGGAAATGTCGCGTTTGTTGGCATCGATTGGCACGGACTCAGTGAAGTTCATACACCCCGTAGACGTACACTTTGATCGCATCCTGACCGGCCAGCACCGGAGTGTCGAAAGCTGCCGACTCTGTGGCCGCATAAGCGGTCGATCGGTCATTGAACGGCGAGATTACGCCGGAGGTTTCGGCGATCTTTTTGAGCTCGCCGAGCTCGCGCCCGGCGAACAGGGCCAGTTGCCCCGCCTTGTCGGCCATATCCTGGACAGCAGCCTCGCGGGCTTCGCGTTCCATTGCCACCGTATCCGAGAAGGAGAAGTTCAACCCATTGAATACGATGTTGTCCCCGCCGGCAGCGATGCTGGCGTCGATGGGGGGCCCCACGTCCTCAATTTCCCGGACTATGACCTGCATAAGGTTGAACACTTGGTAACCTTTGAATCGTTGTTCGCCCTGGACATAATCATACTCAGGATGAATGGTGAAACGAACGGTGGAGATATCCTCCGCTGAAATGGATAGCTCGGTCAACGCGTCTATTACTCCCTGAACCGTTTCGGCGGCTTCGCTGCGAGCTTCCGATACGGAGTCGGCGGTAACGGACACGCCCAACGACAGGCTTGTAATGTCGGGAATTCCGACGGCAGTACCAACCCCGGAAACCTCAACAACATCAAAACCGAGATCGGTGAGCTGGGATACGGCCCGGTTTTGCTCGAGGTGTGTCACGGCGGACACCAGGTTTGAGTTGGAGGAGGCCGGGCCGGGATCCGCAGCGCCCGAAATAGTTTCGGGGCTTTGCGACCCAATCGAAGCCGGCGCGGGTTGAACGCCGCAGGCAACCGAACCCAACAGAAACAGAGCGGCGCCCGTAGCAAATATTGCGGTCCATCGGAACGGTTTTTTCAAAATGTCATCCTTGGAAGTTGACTCGGCCACCCAGCAGAGCACGCGACATAACGACCTTGTGAATTTCGGATGTGCCACCGCCGATGCGGGCGTGTCGGAGCATATGATACCAATGGGGAATGGGCATATCGAGGGTCTCACCCACCCCACCAAACACCTGCATGATCTTGTCGATGCTCCGCCAACCCCATTCTCCGGCTGCGTATTTGACCATTGACGCTTCAACGCGCACATCTTCGCCGGCGTCGGCGCGGGCGGCGGTTTCCCGGGCGACTGCGCGCAGGGCGATGATATCGATGTATACGTCGGTGAGCATCCACTGGATGGCCTGGCGGTCGGCGATGGGGCGACCGTAGGTTACGCGCTGTTGCGACCAGTCGATCGCCATCTGTAAAGCCCGGGTCAAGATACCCAACGCCATGGAGCCGCGGAGCAACCGGTCATGGTGAACCAGCCATTGCTGCCCCAGCGTGAACCCGCCTCCGACTTCCCCCAGGACCTGGGATTGCGGAACACGCACGTTATCCAGATGAATGTAATGTTGCTGGGCTTTGGTGGGAACAATCCAAACGCGGATGGGTTCAAAACTGACGCCCGGCGTTGGGTTGTCGATGATGAACATGGTGATGCCGCCACGCTGACGCTTGTCAGGATCGGTAACGGCCTGCACCAGCAGGAAATCTGCCGAGGCCGCGCCGGATATGAACATCTTGGTTCCGTTCAGTATCCAGTCATCTCCGTCGCGAACGGCGCGGGTTTGCATCATCCCGCCCGGGTCGGAGCCAGCCTGTGGCTCGGTTTGCCCAAAGGAGTAATAAAGGTCGCCATTGATGGCCGGGTAAAGATATTTTTGTTCCTGTTCCGGGGTGCAAGCGCCAATCATAAACATGGGAACGGGCGAGGTCGGAAGGTGGACGATGCTGTGGTGCACCTCCTCTTCCAGCACGAGATGCCCCAGTGCGCCCATGCCGCCACCGCCATACTCTTCAGGGACAAAGGAGGTGTATATACCGGTTTGCCGGGACAGGTTGGTCAAACGGGACCATTGGTCTGCTTCCAGGGTTCCCAGCACACCGGGCACGGCTTCCAGGACGCCCCGTGGAGCGCCGTTGTCCGGCTCTCCTTCTTGGGGCGGACGCGCCAGGTATTCGGGTTCCAGGGGAATGCACTCGTCCCGCACAATCTGGCGAACGGTGTTCTTCAACGCCTCAAGTTCCGGCGGCAGACCGATTTCAGGGGTCATCTTGTCTCCATCGGGGTTTGGAAGTTTGACTGGCTGGATGGTCATGCGCGGCACGACCCACAGCCCGGCGGCAGACTATACACCAACGCCGCGATTCACCTGCGCGGTCCCACAGCAACGATTATGGCGCAATCAGTGGAAGGGGCAGACGTACTTGAGGGCGGCAATGGCGCCGTTTTCGCCATCGCCGGTAGCCAGGCGCGCCACATATTCCCCATCAGCGGGTATCGGAGCCGAGGTGGCTTCAATTACTTCCAGCAAAGAACCCACGGTTCCGAATACCATCGCCGCAGCGAACAACGCCATGACGACGACGCCAATTAGTTTGTGCGGTTTGTGGCCGCGCGCATCATGAGATATCTCACGGGGCATAATGTGCATCTGGGGACGCATGCGACGTCCACAGTGCGACGACATTCTATACTAGTGCGCCCGCCACGAGGCACATCAGAAAACTGAGGTTTGCGGTGACTAACACGTAATCCAAATTGTTAGGACTAGCATCCCATCGCATCTCTAGCGAACCAAACGGAGGTCCCCCATTAACTGATCGGCATGCACCAACCACTTCACGCAATCTGTCCGCAGTGTAGACACGAGTCGCCAGACCACGGCGACTCTGTGTATCCGGACCTGTGCGGTCGTCCCTACGGCGACGTCCATGTTGGTCGAATGGAGTTGGCTCGCACACGACGGGTGTCCGAAGCCGGCACGCGTTCTGGGCTGGCCGGGGCGCGGCTCTTTGCTGAGAGCGACATGTGTGGCCGTGGTACGCATGACGTGACAGTACTTTCAGATTGGTTAGCTCACGGTCCCCGCGACCGCGAGCGGTCACTGAGACGCGACCGGCGTGATGTATTTCCTACAATCCTCGGTCGCGCGCAAGGTGAGTGGAAATTGTGCGATTTGCTTGCGGGCTCAT